TGTTGCCCAGGCTGGTCGCTAATTCCTGACTTCAGGTGATCCTCCCATCTTGGCCTCTCCAAGTGCTGAGATTACCAGTGTGAGCTACCATGCCTGGCCCAGAATTTATTTTATCATACAGATAACTGTTTGAATATTGAAAAAATATATTTAGCTCTGCCTAAAGTTTGAGTTTCCTTTCTAAAGCAATTGCTAGACAGGATTGAACATTATTTTACATTAAAAAGGTTTACTAAACAGATGAGTAAACACCAAATGTCACTGGCAGAAAAAACACTTTTCATTCTTTCAGTCCAAAGCCAGAGATCAAAATTCAGACCACGATAAACTGAAGGCAAATACAAGAAAGCTGCTCTTCTGACTACACCAACTTTGAGTTGCTGATGCTTTAATTGCACACATTAAAGTTCAAGAGGGCAATGGACTTCACTCCTCCAGTCATTTCCAGACAAGAAGCTATTAGTTTCGCCACGGCTCTCTGGCACTGCCACTCCCTCCACACCTCACATGTTGTTAGACTGCAGGTATGGATAGGTCACTGACATGTCACTACAATTAGTTTTATTTGAATTCATCTGAAAAGGAAAACAGGTACATGCGTATTCATTCTAACTGCAAAGGAATCTAGACAGAAATAATCTTTCATTTTCTTTCAAATAGCTAGCTGCTCACACCAAACCTCCATCTAGATTGAAGCCTTGGGTGTGAGGAGAGAAAACAGAGAAGTAGTATCATGTGTAATTTTATACTGTTGGTATAAGGTGAATCTTTTAAAGTAGAATATCAATATCAGAAACTGAAGAAAAAGATTAACTGACCCAAAACAACAAACTCCAACCCACCGTAATCAAGATGACAAGGAAAAAACCCAAGGGTATAATGTGAGCACCTGAGGCAGTCACTACCATGAATGAGCACAGATTTCCTTATTGAGCTGTAAGAGAAAGCTGGCCCAAAAGCTGAACTCATAAAGAAATATTAATTGCCAATTAAATAAGAAGCTGATTTGTTTAGCTAATATTTAAAAAGCAAATTAGAGATCTGTTTCTACTTAGGAGAAGCACAAACATTTAAGATTAAGTCTTTAAGTGTAAAACAGCATGTCATTGTTGCAGAGACAAGACCAAAGGGCCATATGTCCATAGTAGTGTGATTTCATCAGATACTGAAAGTAAAATTACTTGAATTTAAATGCCATGTACATCAATGCCAAAAACAAAGAAAACTAATGTCCACGCTACCCAGAGATCTCCACCAAGAAATGGGAAAAAAATCAAAGTAACCACCATCCAACATGCTTTATCAAGCTGTCAATCCAATAAGAAACGGCCCAAATTAAGACTCTTCAACTTCTTAAAACAAGTAATTTTAATCACTTAAAAAAGAAGAAGCATAAAAAGCACAATCATGAAAGAAAAAACTGACACATTTGGACTTTTATTAAAAATACAGCCTGGGAGGCTGGGTACAGTGGCTCACGCCTGCAATCCCAGCACTCTGGGAGGCCGAGGTGGGCAAATCAC